AGTGTGTGTGAGTAAGTGTGCGGCCGGCTAGGGTAAAAACCAAAGGGCTTTGCCGAGTGCCCGCAATTTGGCACTCGACAAAGTAAAGGTATGCCGAGTACTAGATTGTGGGCACTCGGCATTGTTTTTTTTGTTCAATTTCCAACCGGTACGGTACTGGAAAGTGGGGCTGGCTTGGGTATATTGCCGAGTGTCCACTATATGACACTCGGCAACTATATTGTTTGCCGAGTGTCGTGTAGTTAACAGTCGGCAAAATAAATTGATATTTCATGCCCACCTATCCTCCTTCTTCATAACGTGTTTTACTAAATTTGTTACGATGTAATTTGAAAATACCTTGTCAAATTCACTCAACAATGCATATTTGATTTTTCTACGAATATTATTCCATTATTTCATGCAGTTATAGCTCAAATTCAATTTATATCGATTAAAATTCTATAATTGCAGTTAATAAATTAAAATTATCAAACGGATCCAAAAAATTACCAAAATTTGATGTGAACCAATCTATGTTGTCTATTGCCTATACAAAAAGTTTTGAAGTCAAACCCCAATTCGACCGTCACTTTGACTCCAAATCTTACCGGATCCTTCTCAATGCTACGATTCTTCTTCGGAGATGCTTCGATTTGTAAGCGTCGTACGTGATAAATTATGCGAAACCTTCTCAATTTTTTACCACAGCCTCCACGTATGATATCATAAGATTTTGACAAATCTCGTGACTTTCAGACTTTGTTTGATTTTTTTAGAATTTAAAAATCATTCGGCCACACGTTCGTGGTCGTGTTTCCTGAACAAAATGTTCGAAATTTCTTTTCATTTCCCGGGTAAGGCTTCAAAATGGACTCAATAATATGAATATCATTTTTCCACTCATTTTATTCCATTATTTGAATCACTTGCAGTTCAAATTTGACTTATACCAAAAAATTTCTCTAAATGCAATAAATTAATTAAATATACCAAACAGATCGAGAAATATACCAAATTTTAACATGTAGTACCACATGTTGTATGTGGAGAGTAGAAAAAGTTTGGAGGGCAAGAGAGAAAAAAAGTTTGGCTTTGCCGAGTGCCTATAAAAAACACTCGGCAAACTTATAATTTTGCCAAGTGCTGGGGAAAAACACTCGGCAAAGTAGCACTTTTTATAACGGCCGGCACGCCGTCAGACGGCAGTCGCACGTGCCGGTCACGTGATAGTATTTTGCCGAGTGTCAATTCATTGCTACGTGTCGTCTTGTTGTTTACCGAGTGTCTGTTATACTACATTCGGCAAATCGGGTTTTTTACCGAGTGCAATATGTATGCTGAATGTCTTCTTCACTACACTCGGCAAATCAGCTCTTTGCCGAGTGCCCGATGGAATGCACTCGGCAAACAAAAAACACTCAGCATATTTACTGTTTCCGTTAGTGTCTATTCATATTATTTGCAATAATTAAATTCGACTATTTAAGTTTATTATTGTTGACTTTTACCTAATTAAAAACATCGCTTATTCGTGCCTAGATTAATTTAATATTTCTGAATGGAGGAAGTAAATTAGTTACAAAATGATATAAGCATGCCAATGATCTTAATCGGATATTAATTGCATGACAGCAACAGAGTCAAATGAAAGAAAAACTGGACTGCACATCTGTCGATCGAGCAGCAGCCGGCGGCTCCGGCGGTTAACTAACCACCCTGATGACGATGAAATTTGTGTTGTGGGTGTGTGATGCAACTATACTCGAAAACTGACCAAATGGAGCACACCTGCGTACCTGCGAGACTCCCAAGCACGAAACCTCTAGTAGAAAATATAAATTCACCGATCGAGCTGATGCATGCAACATGTCTAACTAGGACGCACCACCAGCTCAGCATGTACAGCAATTGCTCGCCAGTTGATCGTCTGCAATTTGGCGACCATCACAAGCAATTCCTTCGCAGCATTGACTAGCTAGCGATCGATCCCAAAGTCATCTCACAAGATTGATTATTCTTGTCCTCATCCAATCATATCAGAGCTGCTATAGAAATTCTTATTGTGAAGTCGAACGCATGAAGCGATATGGGAGATCGGCCGGACGTATAAATACATGTACTTGCTAACCATGCAAGATATTCGAGAGTAGCCGTACTGCAACTGCAATTAGTCTAGCTAGCTGCAAGAAGAGCATTTTGATAATATTTGGCATTGGCAGCAAGCATCTAGCCATGCCGTCGCTTCAAGCGGTGATGGTGCACGGCGGCGAGGAGAAGAAGGTCGGCGCCACGAATGGAGCGCCGCCCACGTACACGCCCCATACTCTGGTGAGCCTCCTCCGGGCGCGGTCGGAGCGGAGCACCAAGGCCGAGGAGAAGGTGGAGTGGGTGCGGTCGCAGCTCGTCGGCCACGACGCCGAGTTCGAGACGCCGTTCGGCCGCCGCGCGCTCCTCTACGCCGACCACACCGCCACCGGCCGCAGCCTCCACTACATCGAGGACTACATCCTCAAGAACGTCCACCCCTTCTACGGTCAGCGTGCATGCCTCTTCACTCCCCAAGCAACACCATCGATGCATAAGCATGGGCATGGCCGCATGCGTCTCGATCATCATAAACAGGAAGATGTTGTCGACACTACATGACAGATGAATGGCTGTGTGTGCAGGGAACACGCACACACGGAGGACAGCTACGTGGGCAGCAAGACGACGCGGATGGCGAGGAAAGCGGGGAGCTACATCAAGCGGTGCATGGGCGCGGGCCCCGACGACGCGCTGCTCTTCTGCGGGTCGGGCGCCACGGCGGTGGCGAAGCGGCTGCAGGAGGCGATCGGGGTGGCGAGCCCGCCGGCGCTGCTGCGGGCGCGCGCCGCCGCCGCCGGCGCGCAGCAGCTGCTGCGCGCGGAGGAGCGGTGGGTTGTGTTCGTGGGGCCCTACGAGCACCACTCCAACCTGCTGTCGTGGCGGCAGTCCCTGGTCGACGTCGTGGAGATCGGCGCGGGTGCGGGCACCGACAGCGACGACGGGCTCGTCAACCTCGCCGCGCTGCGGCGCGCGCTGGCGTCGCCCGAGTACGCCAACCGCCCCATGCTGGGCTGCTTCTCGGCGTGCAGCAACGTCACCTGCGTGCTCACCGACACCCGCGCCATCGCTCGCCTCCTGCACCAGCACGGCGCCTTCGCCTGCTTCGACTTCGCTGCCAGGTACGTGTTGTACTCTCTAGGTGCCTGTCCACGATGTATAGAATAGTAGTTTGCATTGAGGTATAAACTTCGATCAAGTTCTTTTTTACATATATATGTATATACTTCTAAAATTCACGGTTGCACCTCAGCTAGAAATTAAGAATTGTTCAGGTTTTCTTTGTTTGTAGCCGTGAATTTCTAGGCTCGTACGTGACAGTCGTGACAATATATGAAGTTTGAACACACAACTTAATAGTCTGACACGCATGCATGATGGCCAAAATTAAAGTCCTTGCAGCTATACAGTTCAATTCCAAATGCAGGCAGCAACTCTCGTTTTGTCAATGTGCTATAGAATATATACGTGAGGTTTGAAACTTGACGCCATAGAACAATTAATGCAAATGTAAGCTCCTGTATCAGAACGAAATTCAGTCTGCATTTTGATCCATTCAGCGGTCCGGACCTGATGAACAGAAAAAACAAGCGTCGTTCTTTGAATAGTAATAATAACTAGGCCAATTTGATTTCGCGATTTGATTTGCTCACCTGCAGCTAGGGATGAAAACAGACGGAAACGGACGGAAAAACTCCTCTCCCATTTCTGTTTCTATATTTTTAGTCGAAACGGGATCGGGTTCGGGGAAAAAACGGAATAAAAACGGATGGGGATATACGGAAATACGGAAACAAACAAATATGGACGGAGAGCCAGAAAAATAAGTTAGAATAACATGATCAAATATTCTTGAGTATACATGAACAAAGTCACAAAATAATATACACTTACGAAATTATCGGTCCGATATTCACTAGTATACCATGTGTTAACATGTTAACATGCATAATTTGTGATTAGTAGGTTTATGAACATATCAATTTCTAGACATATCTCACATTTGAAAACGGAATGAAAAACGAAATAAATACGAGTTAATTCTGGATAAAAACAGGATCTCGCGGAAACGAACGGAAAAACCCCTTTCCCGTTTCCGTAAATACGGAAAAGATCCCACAAATACGAAAACGAACGGAAGAAAATAGAAAACGGAACGGGATTTTTTCGGTCTGTTTTTATCCTTACCTGCAGCTGCAGGCGCGCCCGTTTCCTCCATCCTTGACATCAAAATTTGACAAATTTCGCGACCTGCTGCATGCTGCATGATGATATCACTTTGACCTGCAGATGCCACCATCACGTATTGCATCTGTGTACCAACGCCATACGCTAGCTATCAAATTCAGGGCTTGCCAGACTTATTATTATTAAGAACGCATCAATCACACGTGATATAGTAGTTAGATGAAGTTACTGAAATGTTTTTGCGTCTGGTTTCCTCATCGTTGAAGCAATCTCATACATATTTTCCTTGCCCGGCGTTGTTTTGTTAATTTTATTTCCAAGTTAATTAGAAGGAGCGGCATCGCAAGTCCAGTTCGTAGCTCATCCGACAGCGAAAGCCATCGACCTCTACCTGCTACATGCAAACGCGTCACAACTCAGAACAGAAAACCGATCTGAACATAGCCTCGCTCTCTCAAGAAACCACAAAGGCCTTCAATGGCCGGTGTTGCATTGCATACGCCGCGTCAGAACTCAGAACGCGACACATCTGAATATTGTTGTTTCTGCACCAACACAACTACGAAAACCAAGATATATACACAGTACGAAAATAAATAAATAAGATGACATTTCTACTTGTATATTGTACATGCGTCAGCAGTGTACCTGTGCTCACGTTTCTTGCTCAGATAACATTGTGTCCTGCACTGCATTATATGAGACATGCGTGAGTCGATCGTTGACATCCCCGTGTGTCTGAACAGCGGGCCCTACGTTGACATCGACATGCGGTCGGGGGAGATGGACGGCTACGACGCGGTGTTCCTCAGCCCGCACAAGTTCGTCGGCGGGCCGGGCACGCCGGGGATCCTGCTCATGAACCGGGCGCTCTACCGCCTCGCCGGCATGCCGCCGTCCACCTGCGGCGGCGGCACCGTCGCCTATGTCAACGGATTCAGCGAGGAGGTGAGTGAGGCCACCAACGACAATCGAGCCGCCGTGTGCTTCTGTACTTATTTGTTCATGCATGTAAATTCCAAATTAGGTACTACTAGTATAGTACAGGTTTTGATGAACCCGAATGTTTCGTACTCTGGTACTGCAATCATTAAAGCCGTGATATGCACGCTTGAACCATCGGAGTCACAACTCCGTGGCAGTACATGCATGACGATCCAGTCGCTGACGCACGTGTGCCGTACCGTACACCCGCATGCATTGCAGGACACGGTGTACTACGACGACATCGAGGAGCGGGAGGACGCCGGCACGCCGCCCATCGTGCAGAAGGTGCGCGCGTCGCTGGCGTTCTGGGTCAAGGAGCACGTCGGGCGCGACGCCGTCGCGCTGCGGGAGCAGGTCTACGCGGAGGCGGCCATGGCGCGGCTGCTCAGCAACCCCAACGTCGAGGTGCTCGGCAACGTCGCCGCGCGCCGCCTGCCTATCTTCTCCTTCCTCGTCTACGCGGGCGGAGAAGGAGATGACACCTCCTACGCGTCAGCGACCGGGAGCCCGCGGCGGCGGCGGCTGCCCCTGCACGGCCGGTTCGTCGCCAAGCTCCTCAACGACCTGTTCGGGATCCAGGCCAGGGGCGGCTGCGCGTGCGCGGGGCCCTACGGCCACGCGCTCCTCGGCGTCGGCGAGGACCTCTCGCTCCGCATCCGCGACGCCATCGTCAGGGGGTACCACGGCGTGAAGCCCGGGTGGACGCGGGTCAGCTTCGCCTACTACCTCTCCCGCGACGAGTTCCGCTTCGTGCTCGCCGCCATCGACTTCGTGGCCGCGCACGGCCACCGCTTCCTCCCGCTCTACAGCTTCGACTGGGCCACGGGAAACTGGGCGTTCCGCCGACGGACGTTCAAGCACCACGTCATGAGGGAGGAGCTGCTGCGCGATCACCGTGGCCGCCGCACCTCCACCACCACCGTCGTCGACGCCGATTTGGACGACGACGACGAGCAGTACTACCCGAAGAAGAAGACCACCGCTGCGGATGAGCAGCAGGCTGCTGGCCTGACCACCGACAAGTTTCAGAGCTACCTGGAGACTGCCACCAAGATCGCGCTGTCGCTGCCGGACACGTACCATGAACTCGTTGCGAGCGTGCCCAAGGGATTGGACCCCAACGTTATACTCTTTCGAGTGTGATTATTAGCTAATAAATAGTATTAATTGGAGCCAAATAAACCGATATCGATCGACAAGGTGTGCTCTAATCACTATACTGTACAGTGTGTATATATAACACTGAGTTTTTTTATTTGGAAACCAAAAGTATAGAGAGTTTCCGACAACGGAAAAGAACAAGTTTTTACGACTATAGTTCCTTATGTATATGCCCGTATTATATAATAATAATAAATATATATTAATCCCTCGACCAGGAATAAAATGGAGACCATCCAGGGTCTCATGTACTGTTCAGACATTTTTGATCGTTGTCCCCTTTACTGTGCACCACTGTTTAATTAGTACTGTTTCATGCTATTTATTTCTCTGTTTGTTACTATTTAGCGGTTTATTACTATTCACTTTGCTGCTACTGCTCATATGTACTTTGTTCGTGTTTTTTTGCGCTGTTCAGTAGCCTGCGCAGCGGAGCGTGTGTTTTGTATCATGACTATGAGTGCCGTAGACCAGGAGGGAGTAGTAGAGTCCATGATGGACTGAACTGCTTGCAAGGTACACCAATTGAATTGCAGTTGTATACTCCCTCCGTTCTTTAAAATAATCAATTCCACCGAGTTTTCCTAAGTCAAATATTTTTAAGTTTGATTAAATTTATGAAAAAGAGCACCTAAATTTATAGCACCAAATTAATATTGTTAGATACACAATGAAATATATTTTCATTGTTGTTTATTTGATGTCATAAATAGTGTTGTATATTTTTTATAAATTTGACCAAACTTAAAGAAATTGATTTAACATAACTCTAGGAATTGATTCATTCCAGGACTCAAGGAGTATTTAATAGCCATATATATATAACTGCCAGTATACTGCTGTATCCTTCTTCCAAATATTTTGGTATATTTCATTTCAGTTCCTTAATCCACTTCCTAAACTGATCTGGAACAAAGCTAATGCATAGCTGTTTATATTATTTTACTGCTACATCGTATCGATATAATATTCAGTTGATAGGTAACAACTACTCCGCGCCACGCGGACCGGCAGGCTTTTGCATGACCTCAGAGCTCTGAATCTTTCTCAGAGTAAACGCGGCATGGCCATGGCAAGCAAGCAACCAACCATTAACACTCGTTCATGCGGTCTCTCGCTGCTGATCACACTATCCAGGTCACACTGCTGACTCGATCTCTCGCTTGCAGATCACACTATCACACTATCCAGGTCACGCTACACACCTGTTATAGTATAGTCATCAAAGCTGCTTTCTCCAGATAAGAGAGATACGTGCGTGTACGAAACAAGTCGGCCGGCCGCTAGAAAAACAAAGCAGTTTTCTGGAAACTTGGGAAATTTTTTACTGAAACGATGCCATCGGAGTTGGTACTTGGAAGAGTGAGGAGAACGGACCGGTGATTTCATCCAGTGCCGTCATCACGGCATGTGACCTCAACGGGTGCCTTCTTCCAGGAGGTTTGAAACTTTGAATGGTTCGGGTTTTTCTTTCAAACAAATGCTTTGAACCGTTCGCTGCTCAGATTACTCAATTATATTGTCCCCGAAAAAGAGTGAACCGACCGTCACTGCCGGCCGTCGTCGCTGCTAGTTTGTATGAAACGGTTATGATAAATCTTCGGTGCCGATTCTTAGCTTTAAAATCAGAAAATGATTGGGGTCCCCAAAAACCGGCAGCGAAGATCATCATCAGTGCCGCCTGGTGGCTCGAAACGGCAATGATATGTCACTGTTGGTCCGTGGCTTGAGCCGACAGTGATAGCTGCACACTACAAAAGACGACGTCCTCTTCTCTCATCCCTCCCATTCCGAGCACACTTAGCCAAGGTGGCGCCTTTTTCCACCTCTCCCTCCATTGCTGTGGTCATTTTTCATCAAAATACCAATGGAAGGTCTTGACTTTGAAGCATGGGCATGATCTTCTTGCTTTAAGGTTAGTAACAAGTATCCGCTCCTTTGAATTTGTAGCTTTTCAATTTTTTATGGATAGATTGATTGATTCTCATGCTACTTACTTCTCCAGCTTAGAGAGCACTTTTCAATTGGATTTTGAGGAAGGAATTCAAATCGTGGTGAATCCATCTTTTAAAAGGTTGGTGTCTATGAACCCAGTTTAGTTTGTAGCAACTTACAGGGTGGTTTTGATGATTGTTAGTATGTGATGCTTTAGTTCTTGTATGACGTAGAGTTGAGTTTTTTCAATAGGGCTATCAATTTTAATTTTGACGAGCACATCCATGTGACACCTAGTAACCCATTATTTTTAGCTACAATTATTGTTCATGAAGGCTCCAATTTGTATTCTCCTATAATTAGTCTCTCTATTTTTATGTGACATGAAGTAGAATAATTGTTCTTCAAGAGGGGCTACCAATTTTAATTTGATGAGCACGTCAATGTGACACCAAGCAACCTATTGTTTTGAGCTACAATTGTTGTTCAATTTTCCTATAATTTTTCTGTGCAGAGATGGATCAAGGGTAGATGTACGGTCTGACATCTGCAAACCTGCAGTACTTGACGGGCATCAACACCTTCATCACAGCTGCCAAAGTTTATGCTAGAGATGGACAACTTGTATTCTACCCATGCAGAGATTGCAAAAATCTTAGGAAATTTTATTAACGTGGAGCAAATACGATTTCACTTGATTACTAGGGGGTTTGTGAAAGACTACACGATATGGAGTAAGCATGTGAAGGTGAGAATGTTCCACAACAAACCTTTGATGATGTGATCATACATGACAGCCCCCCTAAGGCTATTACTAACGAGGAAATGGGTGTCAACACGAAACCTGTGGCTATCAATGATGACACCCACTTCTAGAATACATGAGCTGACGATATGACGATGGCGATCACTACCACAAAACAGAATAGCCTTGAGGGTCGAAAACCCTCAAGGAAAGTAGGAAAACAGCCAAGGAAATAATTCCTGGCGACCAACACTCAAGGAAGGACTGCCAAGGGGAGAGAGTCAGAGAAATAGTTATTATCTTGAGGGCTGGCCGCCACAAATCAATTCCTTAAGGGTTGAGCCGTCAAGGAAATAAATCAGCGGTTAGATTTTTAACACCGTCAAGGAAATGCAACAACACCCATGGATATCCATTTCCTTGAGTGCCGATGACACCCAAGGAAATGTAACAACACCCAAGGATATACGTTTCCTCCGGTGCCGATAACACCCAAGGAAATGTAACATCCAGGGATATATGTTTCCTTGAGTGGGTTTGTTGTAGCTAGGAATCAAACTTGCGACCTGAGATTTCGCATGAAACTCATCTACCACTACATCAATAAGTCTTTTGCGACTAAGTGAATGTTTCTTTCGTTTTGTTTTCACTTTAGTGGATCTTGTAATGAATACTAGAGAGCCTAAACAATTTCAATTGAAAAAAGTTTGAACTGAAAAGTGTTATATCTCGTCGAGTATTGGAACTTTGGTTTAGGTTGTATCTCCATTTGAGGTCATTTGAAAGATTGAAAAAGTTGAAGTTCAAAATTCTAAGGACTTAAAACATAGTTTGTCGATTTTGAATGATTTCAAATACAAAAAGACATCAACTGCGAAGTTGTACATCTCTTCGAGCTCGACAACTTTGATATAAACTTTGCCTCCATACGATATTAGTATGTTACATGTTAGCTTTAAAGCTAACTAGGCATCTCAAGCTTAGCGCCAGTATATGCATTCTCTAATGCATAACAACACAAAATTATACTTTTTGTTTGATTAATGTACTAAGAAAAAATGTATTTCATTTCCCAAACATGTCAATTGAGCATTTGTATCTATAAAATGCAACGTCTAAC